CCACAGATCAAGTTCTTGAGTGTCAAAAGAACAACAGCGTCCTCACTCAGGAAAGGCTCTGATATATCTATGCATTATCCTGGAAAATAAATGACTCTCAGGTAAAATAAATGAGTGTTCAGGCAAAGAAAAACAGCTCCAGGAAGAGCTTCCAGGGAGAACAGTCGGTGGGAGTGGTGTGTGCTGAGGGAACCTGCTGGTCATCACTGTAGCTATGACTGGCTTTTGTTTTAGGGAAAGAATCATTCGTTCAGTGCTTAGAGGAGAAAGAGGCGAATGTCTCTGTTTCTGTCTCTTTGGCCACTCAGAGGCTGGACTTCAGAATTCTGTCCCTGATATTTGGCTGGCTGGGACTGTTTTGGGGAAATAGCACCCTCTAGAGGAAAGAGTATGCGTGTTTTGTGGGGGTGCCCCGGGGGGTGGGGCACGCAACAAATGATTTCCAGAGCTTTGGCTCCCTTCCTTCTTTAGGGGCCTGGCCAGCTTGGGGGTGGAGTGTAGCTAATTGTTTATCCGCTTCTGACTCTGGCCACCGCAGAGAACAAAGCTGCCTGGCTGTGGGAGGTGGCACAGCAGCTGGGAGCAGCAGATAACAGCTGGAGGTGGCAGATATAAAGGCTGGCAACCTCAGGCACAACAGCTGGAGGTGGCAATCACAACAGCCAGAGGCAACAAAGAGGCTAGCAGTGGCTGAAATCTCCAGCACCCATGAGTCCAGAGCCTTAGCCCTGCGACGTGTGGTCTTACATGCAGGGTACCACAGTGGCAACTCCTGAGAGCATGAGGTTCATGAGAATGAACCTGGGATACACAAAAGCAGTTGTTACGATTAAAAAGTTCTGGACCCAGGAGCTGGAAGACCTGGATTCTCGTTCCAACTTTACCACTAATCTACTTGGGGCAACGCTCTCTGAACCTTTGTTTCTATGGTGTCTTTCCTACCTACCTCATGGTGTGAGGATCAAACTATATATTTTATAAACTTTAAAGTGATAAAGAATTATAGATTAATATTTTGGGAATGATAAGCAAGGCCTCTCTTGGGCCCTAAGAGCTTCCATTCTCCAAGATATATAGAACCTTCCATCAACATGAAGAAAGCTAGGATTTCAGTTAAGGACCCCTGACTGTCACCACAGAAAGTGCAGGGGTAGAAGTGGGGCAGAGAAGGCAGGCATCCTGACCCACCATGAGTATAGACAGAAGCTTCAAGACAGTCTTTCAGTCTCCTATCTAAAGCTTTAATCTCCTCCATAGGATCTCTGCAAAGTGCTCCTCCAAAGTGCCTTCCTGATTGTTACAATGCTCTTTATAATATCAATTTGCAATTTTTCTCCCTGTACTATGAACTCACTGATTGTTCCTTTTGGAGCTCAAAGGACAAGTCCAAGCCTTTGATCACATGACAGCCCTTCAGACCAAATATTTGCACACATCCATTATATCCTTTCGATTGTCTCTTCTCCTGAATGAACTTCCCTGTTTCCTTTGACCATTTCTCACATGGTCCGGTTCTGAATCCTCTCATATCCTGAGTGTTCCTTGATGCTGGATACTGCAGGTGTGGGATGAACAGAGCAGAGTACAATCAACTACGTTTTTATTCTAGAGACTTTAGTTCAATGAAAGTAGCTTAAGATTAGTTTGCTTTTTTGGCAATCAAAACACATGAATAACTCATATTGGATTATTTTCTGCTAATAAGTTTAATTTTTTTAAATATTGTACTGCTTTCTAAATCACATCTCCATCCAGAGCTTGCTCAGGTATTTTTGGACCCAAGTACATAATCGGGCACCTAACATTTTTACATTTTTGTTAGACTTGGCCTACTTTTTTTTTTTTTTTTTTTGAGATGGAGTCTCTTTGTTGCCCAGGCTGGAGTGCAGTGGCATGCTCTCGGCTCACTGCAATCTCCGCCTCACAGGTTAAGCGATTCTTCTGCCTCAGCCTCCCGAGTAGCTGGGACTACAGGTGCGTATCACCATGCCTGGCTAATTTTTGAATTTTTAGTAGAGATGGGGTTTCACCATATTGGCCAGGCTGGTCTCAAACTCCTGACCTCATGATCCGCCCGCCTCAGCCTCCCAAAGTGTTGAGATTACAGGCGTGAGCCACTGCACCTGGCCAGACTTGGCCTACTTATTTGATTCCTTTGGATCATAATTCTCCCCCAGCTCTTGTGTTTGCTATCTGTCCCAGCTTTCTGTCAGGCTCATAATTGATGGCCATAGCATTCTACAGTTTTGAATGAAATTCATGTTAAGAAAATTGAATAGGGCAAGGCCAAAGGTGAAGCTCTCTGGTGTATGAGTAGAAAATGAATTCCAGGCTATCATGGTCCACTCACCAGTACCACTGATTTTTAAAGTCACCTAATTAGATTAGCATCCTCTTCATTTTTTTCTTTATCTGATCCCCAGATCATAATGAGAGATCTTGTCGAAAATCTCCTGAAGTTTAAGCACACTTTCGCTGTTGCACTTCTTTGATATGTCAATTTAGTAGCCTTATCATAGAAGAAAATTAGATTATTATTTCTAAGACAGGGTTTCACTCCGTTGCCCAGGCTGCAGTGCAGTGGCATGATTATAACTCACTGTAGCCTCCAACTCCTGGGCTCAATCAATCCTCCTGACTCAGCCTCCAAGTAGCTGGGACTACAGGTGTATGCTACCATACCCAGCTAATTTTTAAAAATTTTTGCTGAGATGGGGTCTTGTTGTTTCCCAGGACGGTTTTGAACTTCTGACCTCAAGCTATCTTCCTGCCTCAGCCTCCCAAAGTTCTGGGATTACAGGCATGAGCCACCACATTCAGCCAAAATTAGGTTATTTCAATGTGATTTGTTCTTAGTAAATCCACATTGGGTCCTATTGATAACTTCCTTTACCCCTAGCCTGCCCAGGTACTCATAACCTTAATAGTCCATTCCAGAATCTTGCCTAGGATCAATATCTTACTTGTTTGTCTATAGTTTGTGAAAGGTACTTCATTTTTCTTTTTGAAAATTAAAACTATGTACACTCATTTCCAATTTTACATCACTTCCTCTGTTCTCTAATATTCCTCAAAATCTTTTATACGAGTTTACATCCTTTTTTTTCAAGAGTTTGAGGATCAAATGAGAAGGACTTCTAATGTGTGAATTCTAAAATGGTATATAGATACAGGCAGTATGGTGGTTATGTTATTATTATTACTACTGAGTACTAAACAGGGCTTTGCTTGGGCTTGAAATACAAATTCTTCAAACTTCAGAGTTGCAGAGCTTTCTTTCTGTTCCAAAGCAGCCAAAGATACAGGGGAGTGAATGACATCCAGGTCGGGCTGAATAGTCTCTTGTGAACAGAAGTTCCAAATGGCCTGTGGACTGGTAAATTGGGCATTCCTGTTGCCTGTAAACATTCTCTGGGTTCTCATCCATTGGTGATCTCCAATTCAGTGCCTACCTGGTTGGGCATACAGTCGGGCCCAAATAATTTAAAGTTTTCCAGGGGCAAGGCCATGGGGAAAATAGAGTGAGGAGCGGGGTGGGCAATGTGAAGAATCATAAAATGCAATGGTTCAGACTTCTTGGAATGGATAATGTAATGAGCGTCTCCAAGAAGGGCCAAACTCCCCAGAGATCACCCTGCTCCTCCACAGAAGATCTGGCTATCGGATCCAGAGTCAAACGATTAAAATTCTCTCAGTGCTGGAAAAGTACAAGTTAGTGCTTGGGCACCTTGTATTAAGTGAATTGTCTCCTATTTCAGGGCCGTGTCCCACTTACTGCTATCAGAACACATAGCAGTCCTGAATTTGAGCCTGTGCAGACAGAGCTGCTAGTTAACATACACCCCTAGCTCTTCTACTTCACTCTGTCAAAACAATTTTGCCACCCACAATCTGGCATTTCTGCCAGTCTTTGAGAAAATGTCCCAGTGCTGCCAGGAGGTTTCAACATGTTGTTTCTCCTCCAGCACTGCTTATTTCTTTTTGTTCAAGTCCCATCTGTACTCTTCCTAACACTGCCCTAGACTCTAACTCAGACCACATTTGCCCAGATGATGCAAACAGATGATGATGACGATAAAAAATGAAATGATCTGGGCACTTAGAGAGCATCCTGAAGGGCAAAAGCATGGGTAGTTTCTGCTATTCTCTGAACTAGATGAGTATCTTAGTATCACGGGTGGGTACTGACTTGGGGGTAGAGGAGCAAATGAAGAAATTAAGGGGGGGTGTTTGTGTGTGCATGTGTGTGTGTGCGTGTGTGCGTGTGTGTATTAAGGAGGATTGGCCTGGAAGGATTTCAGCAGGATAGCATGTCTTGCTTCATAGCCATTCATGAGGGTGGGGAGGGATCCTATTTCAAAATTAGAGATCTTCCAAGGACGAGTTTTGTGGTGAAGGCTCTCGTTAGTCTCACCCTCACCTTCAAGGAACTGTGAAGCTACTACTCTTTCTTTTCTGCCTCTCTTCCTCTAAGAATTACAAATATCAGACTGTACTGCAATTATTTGCTTACTAAATAGGCATCTTTCTCATTAGGCTGTGAGTTCTTGGAGAGTATGATGTCATTTTCTTTTTTTAATTATTATTACATTTTTTGAGATGGAGTTTCGTTCTGCCACCCAGGCTGGAGTGCAGTGGTGAGATCTTGGCTCACTGCAACCTCTGCCTCCCAGGTTCAAGTGATTCTTCTGTCTCAGCTTCCCAAATAGCTGGGACTACAGGTGCCTGCCACCACGTCCAGCTAATTCTTTGTATTTTTAGTAGAGATGAGCTTTCACCATGTTGGTCAGGCTGGTCTTGAACTCCTGACCTCAGGTGATCCAGCCGCCTTGGCCCCTGCACAGTGCCTAGCACATGGCAAGTGCTCAACTAATATTTGTTAATACAAGAACACATAAGTGACACCCAAATGAATGTGAATTCCTCCCTCCCGTGGGGTGGGGGTTAGAGGTTGGCCAATTTCTACAATAACCTCCATTATGCTGTCTTGCTCCCTCCAGATGACCTCTGTTGCCAAGGTGTATTACAGTCAAACCACTCAGACAGAAAGCCGGCCCCTAATGGGCCCAGGGATACGACGGCGGAGAGTCCTGACAAAAGATGGTCGCAGCAACGTGAGAATGGAACACATTGCTGACAAGCGCTTCCTCTACCTCAAGGACCTGTGGACAACCTTCATTGACATGCAGTGGCGCTACAAACTTCTGCTCTTCTCTGCGACCTTTGCAGGCACATGGTTCCTCTTTGGTGTGGTGTGGTATCTGGTTGCTGTGGCACATGGGGACCTGCTAGAGCTGGATCCTCCCGCCAACCACACCCCCTGTGTGGTCCAGGTGCACACACTCACTGGAGCCTTCCTCTTCTCCCTGGAATCCCAAACCACCATTGGCTATGGCTTCCGCTACATCAGTGAGGAATGTCCACTGGCCATTGTGCTTCTTATTGCCCAGCTGGTGCTCACCACCATCCTGGAAATCTTCATCACAGGTACCTTCCTGGCGAAGATTGCCCGGCCTAAGAAGCGGGCTGAGACCATTCGTTTCAGCCAGCATGCAGTTGTAGCCTCTCACAATGGGAAGCCCTGCCTCATGATCCGAGTTGCCAACATGCGCAAGAGCCTCCTCATTGGCTGCCAGGTGACAGGCAAACTTCTTCAGACCCACCAAACCAAGGAGGGTGAGAACATCCGGCTCAACCAGGTCAATGTGACTTTCCAAGTAGACACAGCCTCTGACAGCCCCTTCCTCATTCTACCCCTTACCTTCTATCATGTGGTAGACGAGACCAGTCCCTTGAAAGATCTTCCTCTTCGCAGTGGTGAGGGTGACTTCGAGCTGGTGCTGATCCTAAGCGGGACAGTGGAGTCCACCAGTGCCACCTGCCAGGTGCGCACTTCCTACCTGCCAGAGGAGATCCTTTGGGGCTACGAGTTCACACCTGCCATCTCACTGTCAGCCAGTGGTAAATACATAGCTGACTTCAGCCTTTTTGACCAAGTTGTGAAAGTGGCCTCTCCTAGTGGCCTCCGTGACAGCACTGTACGCTATGGAGACCCTGAAAAGCTCAAGTTGGAGGAGTCATTAAGGGAGCAGGCTGAGAAGGAGGGCAGTGCCCTTAGTGTGCGCATCAGCAATGTCTGATGACCTGCTCCCACTTCCCCATTCCTCTGGTCTCTTTTCCTCTCTTTCAATGCCCCGGTAAGGAATACTGCCTGGGTTTACTGGAGATCCCCGGAAGCACCCATCCTCCACTCCCTCTTCTTTAACCCAGCGGCCTGTCATTAGCTTAGGCCAACTGGAGTCCAGGTTCCCCTCCCGATGTCCCCTTTCTCCCCTCCCTGCTTCTGCCCCAATACACATACCTCCTTAAGCCAGGATGGGGGAAAGAGAGGGATTAGGCTGCAGTGGCTTAGAAGGCCTCAGCCATGCTTGGAGATTCACATTAGGAAGACCATGTGGTTGGAAGGATAGACTCCCCCACCTCCTGCCACCACCAAGAAGTTTGGTGACTTGAGGCTGGAGCTCCCTCTGTCTCTACCTTTCCATCTAGCAAGTTCCCAAAGGCAAGACTCTCTCTGATGGTCACATTGCTGTCTGTGCTTTCAGAAATACAGGAATCTGATCTCACTGTATTCTAGGGTTTTTACCAACCTCTTTTGAAAGAAGCCAGGTTTTGTCACTGTGAAGCTGATTTCTGCTGGTAACTTCTGACCATCACCTAGAACCATGGTCACCACTGTTTTCCTTTGCTAGTTTCTCAAGTGAACACTCTCAGGATACCCAGTTCCCTCATAGCCTCTGTTCTCAGAGGATTGGAGTTGGCCCAAGAAACATAACCCTACAACCATCCATATCTATCCTGGATTCTGAACTCTTCAATTTGGAGTGACTAACACAAGTTGTTGTCTAAAACTTTAAACCTATCTTCCAGGCAGCCCCGGGAAGATGTGTTTCTCCATGTCCTGTGAATGGAAGGACACAGGCCAATATGTTCCTTTGAAAAGAAAGAGTTCAGTGCCCAAGCCCCATGGAAAGGTCTGAAAATAATAATCCAGATTACATAGTACCTGGCTTCTTTTCTTCCTTTCCTGCCCAGCCTAGATCCTTCTTCCTTAACTCCAACCCTTTGGGAGAAGGCAGGGGAAATGCAAGGGCCTTCCTCTCTTAACACGGATGCTCAAGTAGAACTAGATTCACCGGGCACAGATTCCCTGGAAAGTTAACCCAGCTCCACCATGAGGGATAGGCAAGTTCTCAGATTTCCAGACTGCTGTAGAGAGCCTCTGGGAATTGGTGACGCTTTGTTAAGAAGCAGAACTCTGTGGCTGGCAGCCACTATTCTCAGTTACACCTCCCAGTGCCTTCTGAAAGTGCCAGTTATTTCATTAGGCAATGCTGAGAGGAGAGGAAATTATACCATCTGATCAAATAAACATGGCTTCCCTCAGCCATTCCTGAGACCTGGTATAAAATGATGAAAATCAATGTCATCTCTACTCTCCTCTGCCATAAGGCCATTTTTAGGAAGTTAAAAAGCATGCTTTAAGAGATCAGACTCAGCCTATTCCTTGTTCCCTGGTGGGGTCTGTGGTAACAGTCAGGAAAGGACATTTAGGTACCAGAGCTTTATCCAAAGCCCCAAATCCCTAGACTGCTTTCTGGCCTCACTTTGGTACCAAGGAAGCCCCAGACAGTGGTACTGCATAGTCCCACTATGAATCAAATGATCTCAGCCAATTGTTATAAGCTACATGCTCACACAGAATATATACATGCATCTACGTACAGAGCCTTGCAGAGAAGCACAACATTTTGAGGCTAGACCCATGATTACCACCTACTATAATTGCACAAGGTCTTGTTATATTGATCTCTCCTCGAACTCAACTAACTGTATGAAGACCCTTCATTGTTCATCTACTGTAAACCCCACCATTACCTTCTAGCTGGCATAAAAACAAGAACCACAGAAACTTGAAAAATCTGAAACAGAAAACAGAAGGCAAAGAGCCAGCTTCTGCGTTCTCAACTTTATTCATTAGATTTATCTGATTTCTTTTAGTGTATAGGGACAAGATGTACTGCTGTGTGTGTGTGTGTGTGTGTGTGTGTGTGTGTGTGTGTGTGTGTGT